CCCCAAAACCCCAAAACCCCAAAACCCCAAAACCCCTCCTTTAATAGGCTCAGCTGAAAATCTTATTAATACATATCACCGAAAAAATGAAGGACCGTAAAGCTTTTGAGAAGAGATACGTTCTATTCTTGGCATGATACCTCTTAGCGAGTGCAACTTTGACAATTGTTGCACCTATCATGCCATATCAGATGAAGGAGAAAGGAGTGCCCACTGCACTTAATTCTATTATCTTTTGGTGCGTTGCTATCAATTTCTTTGGGCCACAGAGTAGTATATATTATTAATAAAGTTTGAATTCAGAAGTTTGGATACAAACTCTCTAAATTTTCGGTTTTAGTTACAAATCGGCCTGTTTGAGACTTGTTTTGATAGGAATATCTTCTAACCCTTTATTTAGAATATTTTCAATCGCTGGGCTATTCGCATCGATTTATGGTGGCAAGTACTTGGCAGCAAAAGGAGCTAAATTTTTCGTGTACTCAGGACTTCTTGGATTAGTAAGCTATAGCTTTCTTCTTGTTTTAAGCTAACTTTTAGGCTCTTTCCCATTTGATTTACGCATTGCTTGCCTTTGTACAGAGCAAAAATATCTTTGCTGTGATTATTATCCTCAACAGATGCCTTGAAGGATGGTCCTTTGGTTTGATCCAGTGAATGGTTTATGGAGTTGCCTCACAAGAACTAGCGCCAACAGAGTTCGATCGATATGCAAGAACTTGTTCTGCAAGTGCTGGGGTAGGAGGATGCCTCTCATTATTAGCTGGACCATACTTGTTCTCTATTGGTGGCTACTTCCTACCATATTTTGCTCTGTGTGGAAGTTTTGTGTTATTAACATTCATAATGCACGTCTCCGGGACTTTAAATATTAAAAAAGTCAAACCTACAAGATTTCTTGAAGCCTTAAGCAAAAGTGTTGATGAAGAGTCTCTTCCAACACCAGAGACAAAGATCGACTTGAAGTTTTTGCTAAGCTTGCCGGTAAGATTCTTTATTGATTTTATAGACTGTGAAAATTGGATGTATGTCAATTCTTCTCTCAAACATGGTCTTGTCATATCTTGACCCTATTTTTGCATTGAAAATGCTCGATATGGGAATCTATGCTGGGACAGCTGGCCACATTTATATCTTCTTGCTGCTTAGTTACTCAATATTTGGCTTCTTTGGAGGTGTTCTTGAAATCATAGCTGACAAAAAGACTCTTATCATTGCTGGATATTTTGTCGGATTCCTCGGCTTCTGCACTATTGCACATTGTGTATTTATTGGAACAAATTACGTTCTTCTCATAATTATTGGACTCTTCTTGAACGGGTACTCTGTGATTGGTGGCAACACTTTTGCTACAATGTACACCAAAGCAGAGCTGATGAATGCTGGAGAAGAAAAAGGGATCTCTCGCAAAGAAGCAGGAGGATACTTCGGAGGTGTAAAAGGATCGATGAACTTGATAGGCACTTTCATAGGTCCTTTGGTGAGTCCAAACGTCTACATGATGATAGGATTTGATTATACCTGCATTATGATGGGATCCATTCAGATCTTCTTTGTACTATTCTTTATCTACACTACTAAAAATAGAGATCACCAAGTTCAAAAAATCGAACCTGAAATGAATGAGCTCCAAAAATTATCATAACATGCATATGCTATCGAGACGACATAAATAATTTCTTGTTTCAATATTCCCCAATCAATGTGGGGTTTTGGGGTTTTGGGGTTTTGGGGTTTTGGGG